TTGATCTTCTGTCCGGATGATCTGTCTATTTCTGAGAGTGGAGTATTGAAGTCCCCCAGTACTATTGTATTGGAATCTAAGTCTCCCTTTAAGTCCCTTAACATATCTTTTAAATAGACCGGTGCCCTGTAATTAGGTGCATATACATTTATAATAGTTACATCTTCCTGTTGAATTGAACCCTTAATCATGATATAGTGTCCCTCTTTGTCTCTCTTAACAGTTTTTGTATTAAAGTTTATTTTGTCTGATATTAATATGGCTACACCTGCTTTTTTTTGGTTTCTGTTGGCATGGAATATCTTTTTCCAACCTTTCACTTTCAGTCTGCATGCATCTTTGTTAGAGAGATGTGTTTCTTGTAGGCAACAAATAGTTGGGTTTTGTTCCTTGAGCCAATCAGCCAATCGATGTCTTTTAACTGAAGAGTTAAGTCCATTAATGTTTAATGTGACTATTGATATGTAGTGACTTTGCCCTGACATTTTCCTGGAGATATTTTCTAGTATATGCTTTGAGCTTCCCATGCTCTTTTACTGGTAGGTTTTCTTCCTTTACCTTCTTTCATATTGATGGCCATGTTTCTGTGTTTCTGAGTGTAGCACATCTTTAAGTATCTTTTGCAGGGCCGGATGAGTGGCCACAAAGTCTTTCAATTTCTGTTTGCTATGAAAGGTCTTTATTTCACCTTCATTCACAAATGAGAGCTTTGCAGGATATAATATTCTGGGCTGGCAATTTTTCTCTCTTAGCACCTGTGCTATGTCTCGCCATTCCCTCCTAGCCTGTAGTGTTTCTGATGAGAAGTCTGCTGTGAGTCTAATTGGAGATCCTCTGAGAGTAATCTGACGTTTCTCTCTTGCACATTTTAGGATCTTTTCTTTATGTTTCACTGTGGTAAGTTTAATTACAATGTGTCGTGGTGAGGATCTCTTTTGGTCATGTTTATTGGGGGTTCTATGAGCTTCCTGTACTAGGATGTCTCTGTCCTTCTCCAAACCTGGAAAGTTCTCTGCTAGTATCTCACTAAAAAGGCCTTCTAATCCTTTCTCTCTCTCCATGCCTTCAGGAACTCCTAGAACTCGAATGTTGGTTTTTTTAATAGTATCCTGTAGATTCCCAACAATATTTTTTAGATTTCTAATTTCCTCTTCTTTTCTTTGGTTTGACTGTATGTTTTCCTGTGCTCTGTCTTCTAAGTCTGATATTCTCTCTTCTGCTTCACCCATTCTGTTTTTAAGGCTCTCTAATGTGTTTGTAATTTGATCTATTGAGCTCTTCATTTCATTTTGATTTCTCTTCACTATCACACTTTCCTGTTCTACTAGTTTCTGCATTTCATTTTGATTCTTCCTTAAAATTTCATTTTCACGAGAGAGATTTTCAATCCTGTCCAATAAGGATTTCTGTAGTTCAAGGATTTGCTTTTGAAAACTTCTAAATGTTCTTATCATAAATTTTTTGAAATCTGTATCTTGCATTTCTTCTATCTCATCATCTTCATAATCTTGGCTTGGGGTGTTTTGTTTATTTGGGGGCATCATAGTGTCATTGTTGATCTTGTTCCCTTGATTTTTGTGTTTGCTGCTTGGCATAGTTAATTCTTCTTCCCTCACTGTGTTTTTTTGTTTGTTTGTTTGTTTATTTTATACTATGTCTGTGTTAAGTGGACTGCCTGCTGTTGGAAGAGCCTTGGAGGCTTGAGATGGGTGTGGCCTGAGAGCTCTGCTTGGTTCTTCCGGGTTACGGGTGTGCAAAGGTGACACCCTCAGGTTATGCGTGATAAATCTCTCTTTTTTATTTATTTATTTATTTATTTATTTTATTTATTTATTCAGGAGGTAAGTAATACTGCACGGCTGTGCAGAATTGATGGTATTTAGCTTCCGATCTCTGGCTTCTACCCAAAGAGTCTGTGCAGGCTCTGTTTCTCCTCTGGACTCCCACTGGGTTGCCTAGGCTACTGAATTGTAGCGACTCAGTTCCTTAGCTCTCCCCTGTTGTTATGTATATCCAGAGTGAGGCCTGCTCTTTGTCTCTTGCTTGCCTTTGCAAGGTTGGCAGAGAGAAAAACTAGAGAGAAACTCGTCTGTACCAGTACCCCCCCACCTTTTTTTTTCCTTCTCTCCTGTAGTCAGTCTGGTGAACTTTCCCGCTCCCCTCTAGATTCTGACCGCCGTTTCCCCGCCAATGTCTCGGGTTACTGAGCTCACCTCCCCTTCCAGCGCCGATGTGTGGAGCCCTGGGCGTCCCTGCTCTCCCCGCTGGTGTCTGTGTGATATCCACTCCCCTTCCTCGCACTTCAGCTTTAACACACACATTGAAGTGGGGCAGCTGGGACTTGAACCAGCACCCATATGGTATGCCGGCACTGCAGGCGGCAGCTTTACCCGCTACACCACAGCGCTGGCCCTGGGACTGCAGCTTTAACAAACACATTGAAGTGGAGAGCCACAGAAGATTTGGGGAGAGCCTGGTGTGGTCTGCTGCAGTAGCCAGCTAGAGCGACCTTAGAACCAAATGCCACAGGCTGGATGTGGACATACGATCAGGGGCAAGGGACACGATTCAGTCTGTCACATTCAACTGACATCCGATAGCACCACTCTCACTGCTGGGTTGAGAACAGATTCTAAATTCACAAAGCTAGGATGTGGAAGGAGCCCTCCAGTCAATCTGTCCCATAGCACGTTCTAATTGAGTCTTTGATGAGACCACAGCCCACTGTACCAACCTCATGCGAGATCCCAAGTCAGAGGCATCTATACCCAGAGTCCAAACCCACAGGCATCATAAGATAATAAGTAAACGGCTGTTGGTTTAAGCTGCTGAACTGTGAGGTAATCTGATACTTGGCAATAGGTACCCAACACGCCTACTGCCCCTGAAATAGTGCTGTCAATCCTGGCTGAATGAACGAGTGAGTAACAAGTGTAAGGACACATGCAGAGGGAGAGGAGAAAGACAATACCAAGTTGTTGAAAGCGACACTCCCCAGGAGAGCATACTGCCTTCTGACAGATTTTTAAGTGTTCATCATTCCCACACACTGTTCCAGCTTTCTACTGTGACATGTACCAGAACCATCAAATTGCACAAATGAATAGCTTGAGAAAACATTACAAAATCCACACCTATGGAACCATCAACCAGGCCAAGGAGTAGAATGTGGCCTGCACCCAGACTCTTGGCATTCCTTTTTTAAAATATCTCTTCGGCATACCCCCAGTAATCCCTGCATTTTTATGATTTCTTTTCCTCATTTTTATTGTGATAAAATATAGGGTGAGATTTACCATTGTAACCATTTTTCAGGGTACAGTTCAGTCGCATTAAGGTATTCACAGTGTTATACAACCATCATCACCATTCATCTCCAGAACGTCAACTTCCCAAACAAATTCTGCTCCCCATCAGCACTCTCTCCATCTCCCCCTTCTCTCCAGCCCTTGGCAACAATCATTCTCTCTACCTTGATGAAATCTGACGATGCTGGATACCTAATGTAAGTGGAATCACACCGTATCTGTCTTTTTAATGAATTGCTTCTTAAATTTTAAAAAAGTGGCATTAAAAAAATAACACTGAACTCCTAAGAACCGGTTCCCCCTGGCTTAAATCCCATGAGGCCCAGCCACAGGCAGTTGAAGCATGGTTTAAGCAGTTCACTGAACGTTTCAACATGACACGACAGTAACTTCTTGGCAAAGACCTGTATTTCCTATGTTCTAATCATTCCCAAGTGTCTTCAAACCAGTTTGCGGGGGTGAGGTGGGGGTGGGGTGGGGGAGTGGAGAAGATACAGAACAGGTGCCAAAACAGTATCACAGAGTGCCTGTCCCTTCACCCCACTAGCCCTTGCCCTGGAAATGTTCACAGCAGAACAAGAACTACAACAGCACTGTTAACAAGTACCCCAGCTGTCATCTACTCCACACGTACTGCAGGCTCAGTCCCACTTTAAGTGCTTTACAGGCATCAGCTCATTCAGTCCTCAGCCCTGTGGGACAGACGGAGCTATTACTGTCATGTGCAGTTGAAGGCAGTGAGGTGCAGGAAACTGAGCAACCTGCTCCAAAAAGCCACAGGGAGAGCAGGCAGTTGAGCTGGCTTTGCACCAGGGTAGTGTGGCTTACTGCTCGCCCTCTCCACCAGTGCTTCCTGAACCTGAAGACACAGCAGAGTCCCAGGAGGGCCTGATCAGACCCTGAGTGCTAGGTATTTACCCCAGAGATCCTGATGCAGCTGATCAGGGTTGGGGCCCCAGAATGTGTCTAACAAGTTCCCAGATGTGCAGCTGCTGCTGTGAGGCCCTCACACAGAAAAACGCAGGTGGGTACCATCTCTCAGAAACAGTGTGCGACGTTGTTCCCGTGTTACAACTGAGAATCGACCAGCCGAAGGACCTGCTCCAGTTCAGAGGCAGAGCCTGTGGTCCTGACCAGCCTTCTGAACGTCAAAGACCCCGCATCTTTGCACCCATTGCCCTTCCTCACTGACGACCAGATGTTCTAGGTAGGGTCGTCAGTGGGCAACTCCTGAAAGCAATGCTCAGGAAATGCTTAGTGGAGGCGGGAGAAATGGTTTTTAATAAGATTATATGCACCATACACACATACATCTTTATCCTCAATAGTTCATCTATGGCACTAAATAGAGCCTGGCATTTTCACTTCTGAAGCAGTGTCTCTTATCACATGATATTTCTCACAACTGTAGGGTATTTGATCATTGGCAGCCATTGAATGACTTAATGGATACAATTTCAAAGTCTTTTTCAACGTTTGTCAAGTTCACTTTGTTCTTTTCTGATGTTCATGGCAGCCTAATATTTCCTTAATTTCTAAAGGTCTTTCCTCCCATCTGTGCCATTTTGAAATATATCAAACCAGACAAACTGAGAAAACCAGCAAAGGATTTAAGTTTCAGACTTTCAGCTGGCTCTAAAATCCGACCTTAGGTGCTTGCCGATTGATCTGAGTTGACTATGATTGGCTCACCTGTGACACACATGGCATCCAGAGAAGAGTTTTTGCTCCCTGTTCAAGGTTGGCATCTATTTTGGCAAGATAGACATATTCACATTTGTCCTGTTACCTAATGGGTGGCATCCACCTGAATTGGTTTGCTAGGTGTTGCCAGGTCATTGTGATCCACTATTGGCTTCCTATAGGGCCCTGCTGTGGTTCAGGTATTGTGAGGTAGCAGTGAGGTAAGGGACCCCTTCCTCAGCTCTGAGCAATCAACTTGATGGTTCCAAAGTCAGTCAGGGCAGGCCACACCTTTGTCACTGACTGGCCTAAGCGTGCACATGTGTCCAAATTCTAGCCAATCTGCTAATAATAATCTAAGGAATACTGTTGTAGCCTCTGGGAAAGAGGTTACTCCCTGATCAAAGTATGGAAAGTTCCTCCACTCCCGAATCCCTTCTCACTGCGAATCTTTCTTCGTGGTCCTTGTACCACTTGTAGAACACGTCTCAGAGAGGTGTCAGTTGCTCCCTAATATCAGAAAGATTGAACCAAGGGTTAGAGCTGGTGCCTGTGGGCTTTCACCCCATAGCAGTTGTCCAACATGGGGCAGGAGTGCACTGTTGGGGACAAAGAACACCTGGATATCGGCCATCTCTTTGCCTAGGAGCTGGTCTCTTGGACCTTGGCCCAGTTATCTGATGTGAGAATCTCAATTGCTGTATGTTGTACAGCCGTATTACCTATGAAGGCTCAGATAGGCTTACAGCTTAAATTACTTCCCATAAAACCAGCCATTAAGAACTTAACATAGCTGGCAAAGGACAGACAAATCCTCTTCTGTGGGGAGGTTTTCTGGATTACAGGGACACCTGTGAGCTGTAGCCGAGCCCTTGCAATTCTTCAGCTACTACCACAGTTATGTACTACCTTATTAATTAAGAAAACAGGGATGATAGCATCAACTTCGACCTGGAATTCATTTCAACCTGGCCCAAGAGTCTCAGGAGTGGGAGTAGAGAGCCCTGTTTCCAATCTCCAAGATCTTGCAATGAGGCAATTCACTTGCTTAGAGTTTATGTATCAACCTTCTAACCCTGGCAGCTGCAGGTGAAGTTACCATTCTGTAAATGATTGAAGCCAGAGGCTCTCACCACGCTCTTCAGACCAGAGTAAAGAAAACCCTTTCTTGGTGTACAGCCAAAAGGGGACCTCCCAGCCAGAATTCATCAAAACGCTATTCCCCCAAACACAAAGAATCGGACTCTCATGGTCTCTTTGAGAACACCGAATTGTTTTACAGTGTTTCTGAATCATCCCATTGTCTCTTCTTGCCTAGTGTTTCTCAACTTCTTTAAACTTTGGCCTCCTTCAAAGCTTTCTCACACCGAATTCTGTGTATTCCTCCAAGCTAAGATTTAGCTTGCTTTATTTCCCGTAATTTTGTTAACGAAAACAGTAGCTACTTGGAATGGTTCTTTTTTCAACTAACGAGACTGCTCTATTCTGCCAGGTCCCTAGAGGCAGCTCCCTGTCTCTAAGAATGTGCATACTAGTGCTGGGGCATAATCCTAATCCTTGCGGCTGGCACTCGGCACAACCGCTAAGCCCCCAGCTGAGACACGCACCCTGTATCAGAATACCCGGACCGAGTTACAGCCCTGTTTCAGATTCCAGCTTCCTGCTAATAAACACCCTGGGAGGCAGCAAGGACTTGGCTCCCTGCCTCCCATGTGGGAGACCCAGATTGAGTTTCTGGCCCCTGACTTCAGCCTGGCCCAGCCCTGGCTGTTGTGGCCATTTGAGGAATGAACAGATGGGCTGGCTTGCTCTCTTGCTCTCTCTCCCCCAAGTAAATAAAAATAAAAGGCATTTCTTTAAAGAAACTTAATCCTTGTACTTCAATTTGTGATAAATCACTTATTTTTAAATACAATTAAGGCACAAACTGTAAAATAAAAAGTTTATATATTTGGGTTTCTGTGACCTAAACAGATTCTTCTATTACATCTTTCACAATCCCCAGCCCCATCCATGCCTATTTTATTGTTTTTACTTCATTGGCACAATCACGATGAATTATTGGTTACAAATCAGCATACTGGTTTCTTTTACCACACTTTCCCTTAATCACTAAAACTGGATTGCTTGCTAACAGCTTCATGAATGTTTTCTTTTAATACAGAGATTCTATGACTTCAATTAAATTAAAAAAATTATCAAGTATCTGCTGCCTGCCTGTACTGGATTTGATATGGGTAAGGAATATATTAATTTCCAATCCAATTCCTTGTCTCCTAGAGATGGAAACACTAAACAGACTAGTAACATATGCAGATAGGAACAGAATTTAACATGGAGGGAATAAACAGACATTCACGCGTGAGTGCGAGCCGCCCCACACAGAACAATACCCACCAAGAGTGGGCTGAGAGGGAGGAAAACAAGAGACCGGCACCTCGAAGCGCGAGCAGCAGACGCCATCGGCAAGCGAGCAGGCCGCGCTGGAAAACACGGCTTTCTACCTCCTTTTATAAGGAAGGGGTGGTGCTCACATCGGACACACAAAGGGGTCTTCGCCTGCATCCTGGGAAGGTGGGCAGATCAAGCTGACGGTTAAAGAGACAGCGTCACTTTGCAGGGATTCGAGAATTGCGGCTTGCCTAAACTTTTACTCACTGTGAAGACACACCCTATCGGATTGAATTACGTCCCTAAAATATAAGCTTGAGTCCTAATGGGTGATACTTGTGAATGCGGTCTTATTGAGAAATAGGGTCTTTGTATTCAAGATCAGGTGAGGTGGTGCTGGATAAAGGGAGGCCCTAATCCAAGAACTGGTGTTCTTAGGGCGAGAGGAATTCCGGCACAGGGACAGAGACACAGAGGGAAAACATCAGCTAAAGGCAGAGAAAGAAATTAGAATGTGAGCTACAAAGCAAGGAAGGCTGAAGATTGTGGGAAATCCCCAGAAGCTGGCAAAGCAGGAGGGCTTATCTCCCAGAACCCTCAGAGAGCATTCCCTGGCAACAGCTCATTCTGGATTTCTTGCCTCTAGAGTGTGAGACGATTTCAGCTGCTTCACATCACCTTAGTACAGCATCCCTTAGACAACGTCCCGGGTGACGACGGGATGTAGAGAAGACACACGACGCCTATCGTCAAGGAGTCACCAGCTAGGCAAGACCCCTTATGGTCTCCTTCTGCATACGTTTCTTAGGTGTGGGTGGCTGGTATCCATTTTTCCACATGCACTTCAAGGTATCAGGTAAAGGCTGAGTCCCACGCACAGGGTGGGAAGCCAGCTCTGCGTCTCCTATTTTATCCAAAACCATCAGAGTTCCTCTTCCCCACGACTGCTCCATGGGGTCTTGGATTCTCACGACAGAGGAGATCTGATTACTTTAAAGACGGAGGAGGGTGGTTGCTTTCCATGCCAAGATCACTTACACTACTGGGGTGAGCAAGGGACACCTCTTCCTACAGCATCAGAAAAGAAAACATACGCACAGTTTTAATCTCAGCTATATCACATTAAGGAAATTGGATTTAGTCCTGTAAGTATTTAGCTTGCTATTTGAAAGTTTTAGGGGAAGAGTCACAAGATAAGTTTGGCAGTGGTGAGAATGATGAAGTAGAGAGGAAGAAACTGAGCCTGTAGTCCTGGCTAGGGTGATACTGCATCAGTCCAGGCAAAGATGACACAGTTCTGAATTAAGGCAGTTGTCACGAGCATAGAGTGCGGACATCATTTAGCAGATAGAATTAACAGGATCAGCAATCAGTTTGATGTTGGGTTAGATAAGAATCCAGAATGATTGCCTGATGGCTAGCCAGAGTGACGAAGTTAAATGACAGTAAAACTAAATTACATAGGAAACACTGGAAGAGGAGTAGTAGACTTGGGTGACAACACAGACAATGAACTTAGTTTGGGACATGTTGAATTTGAAGGCCTGTGAGATAGTCAAGTAGAAATACCCAACTGATGTGAAGATTGTATTGGATTTGGAGCTAGGAGATCAAGACTGGGAAAATGGATTTAAGAATCATCAGGGGCCAGTGCTATGGTGTAGTGGGTAAAGCCGCCACCTGCAGTGCCGGCATCCCGTATGGGCACTGGTTCAAATCCTGGCTGCTCCACTTCTGATTCAGCTCTCTGCTGTGGCCTGGGAAAGCAGTAGAAGATGGTCCAAGTCCTCGGGCCCCTGTACCCATGTGGGAGACTTGGAGGAAGCTCCTGTGTCTTGGCTTCTGATTGGCTCAGCTCCAGCTGTGGTGGCCATCTGGGGAGTGAATCAGTGAGTTGAAGACCTCTCTCTCTCTCTCTCTCTGGAACTCTGCATTTCAAATAAAATAAATAAATCTTAAAAAAAAGAGAATCATCAGAGGGGTTGGCATTGTGGCATAACAGGTTAAGTCCCCACCTGTGATACTGGCATCCGACATGGGTGCCAGTTCGAGACACAGCTGTTCCACTTCCATCCAGTTCCCTGCTGGCAGCATGGGAAGGACAGTGGAGGATGGCCCAAGTGCTTGGGCCCCTGCCACCCATGTGGGAGACCTGGAAGAAGCTCCTGGCTTTGGCCTGACCCAGCCCAGCTGTCGGGGCCATCTTGGGAGTGAGCCAGCAGAGGGAAGACCTCTCTCTCTCTCTCTTTCTCTCTCTCTCTCTCCCCCAACTCTGACTTTCAAATAAATAACTTTTTAAAAAATAATTTTATTTTATTTATTTTTTTTAAACTTTTTTTTTTTTTTTTGACAGGCAGAGTGGACAGTGAGAGAGACAGAGAGAGAAAGGTCTTCCTTTTGCCGTTGGTTCACCCTCCAATGGCCGCCGCTGCAGCCAGCGCACCGCACTGATCCGATGGCAGGAGCCAGGAGCCAGGTGCTTTTCCTGGTCTCCCATGGGGTGCAGGGCCCAAGCACCTGGGCCATCCTCCACTGCACTCCCTGGCCATAGCAGAGAGCTGGCCTGGAAGAGGGGCAACCGGGATAGAATCCGGCGCCCCGACCGGGACTAGAACCCGGTGTGCCGGCGCCGCAAGGTTATTTTTTTTAAACTTTTATTTAATGAATATAAATTTCCAAAGTACGATTTATGGATTACAATGGCTTCCCCCCCATACCGTCCCTCCCACCCACAACCCTCCCCTTTCCCACTCCCTCTCCCCTTCCATTCACATCGATTCATTTTCGATTATCTTAATATACAGAAGATCAGCTTAGTATACATTAAGTAAGGATTTCAACAGTTTGCTCCCACACAGAAACATAAAGTGAAAAATAATAGATGATTTTTTTAAATGATGATGAAATCAGATCAGACCTATTGTCATGTTTAATCCCAGTGAGAGTCAAGTTGGGAGTTGATAATTTCTTTTTTTTTTTTTTTTTTTTTTTACAGAGGATCAGTTTAGTATGCATTAAGTAAAGATTTCAACAGTTTGCACCCCCATAGAAACACAAAGTGAAATATATTGTTTGAGTACTCGTTATAGCATTAAATCTCAATGCACAGCACATTAAGGACAGAGATCCTACATGAGGAGTAAGTGCACAGTGACTCCTGTTGTTGACTTTACCAATTGACACTCCTGTCTATGGCATCAGTAATCTCCCTATGCTCCAGTCATGAGTTTTCAAGGCTATGGAAGCCCTCTGAGTTCTCCGACTCTTATCTTGTTTAGACAAGGTCATAGTCAAAGTGGAGGTTCTCTCCTCTCTTCAGAGAAAGGTACCTCCTTCTTTGAAGACCTGTTCTTTCCACTGGGATCTCACTCACAGAGATCTTTTGCCAGAGTGTCTTGGCTTTCCACGCCTGAAATACTCTCATGGGCTTTTCAGCCATAAAAAAGAATCCTCAGGATATATTTGACAGTAAAAACCATGGCGGAGGAAAGCTGGGGATGAAACGTTGAGGGACATGAATCTTTGCTAGGAGAGGAGGAACAGGAGCCAGCTGGGGCTGCCGTTTACGGAGCAGCAAGTGCTGACGCAGGAGCGCCAAGTGCCCGGAAGGACATGCGGGCAGCAGCCAAGGAGCGTCCGAGGCAATTATAAATCCACGGTGAACCTGGCACGAACACTTCCAACTGAGTGGGGAAGACGCCAAGTTTTAAATGTAGAGTGAATGCAAAGAGGAGAGAGAATGTGCCCACTGTCTCCTCTTTGTCCATCCAGAGTCACACGCTACCCTTTGTCACTCTGCTCTCTGTCCTGGGTACACAGGCAGATGCCCGAGGCTGTTGAGTTTGGCCAACAGTGAGCCCTGGGAGGAGACTGCAGGGCAGGAGGGTGCAGTGGGGATATGCATTCCCCCATAGGCTCTGCTGCGTCTGCTCTGTCCCCTGGACTCAGGCAGCCAAGCACTGGCAGGCTGCACACGGCTTGTAACAGCACACGGCCCCTTGCGTTTCTCTACAACCTGCCCACGCCTTTGTATTTAATCCTTCTGTAAATCGTTCTTGAATTATTCTCATTGGAGCACACCATCTGTGTCCTGCCTGAGCCCCGTAAGATCCAGGGAGGAAACCTGGCTGAGAACAGTACAGGGGTAGACATACACAAAGCCAAGGGAGGTCTCGTCATGGGGTTTTACTTTTTAAAGGTTGGAGAGGCTTCGATGTATTGACAGGCTCGTGAAGTTTTAACAGCAGGTCCTATTTCAAAGGTGTAATCGGAGAGGAGGAAGAAACAGGCAGAGTGCGCGCTCTGCTAACCCCTGAGCGGGTGACACTCCAAGTGGCCTTCCCGCTGTTGCTTCACATGCCCTAGAACTTGTGTTTCCAGTTTGCCCACGGCTGCGGTGGCATGTGCTGGTCTGAGCCCCGAGCTGACGGAGGAGCAGACACAGAGGCTACAGAAGGAGAAAGAGCAAAGGTCAAGACCTCAGCAAACCCAGTCACACCTCAGTGCACCCTGGCGGTAAACAGGGCAGTTGGTGTTTTTTTAAACTTTGCAAGGCTCTGCTTGAATGAACGGCCCTGCTCACCTTGTGTCTTGACTCCGCCTCTCCCGTGTAGGTCATGGATTGGATGGATCTGCTCAGGCTTTCTCTATCTCAAGTGTAATCAGCCCTGTTCTGTCCTTGGGCCCAGTTCTGCCTACAGCCTGGCACTTTCCCCAAGGCTAACCCTGGATAACTCCTCCTGGTTCTCAGATTTCTCTTCCCCACCAAGCGCTCCCCCCGCCCCAGCGCCTTGTTGCTTACCTGCTTCAGAGAGCTCCACTCCCATTCCAAAGCAGCCACCACGTGCTACAACTCCCTGAGCTGAAGTCCGCTCAGAAAGTCTCCTACATTTCCTTGCAAGCTTTTTGCTTTTGCTTGTTTTCACATCTGTGTCTTCCACCTGAGTTTTACTGACAAAGCCACTGCCAAATGAGAATGTTGCAAGTGAGAAATGAACTTCTGAAGGTCCCTCATGTTTGGGATCTAGAATAGACAGGACCAAGTGACTGGATGGAGACGGGGTGAGGGAGAGCGTGGTGTTGAGAATGATAAGGAAGGCCGGCACAATAGGCTAATCCTCTGCCTGCAGCGCCAGCACCCCGGGGTTCTAGTCCCGGTCGGGGCGCCGGATTCTGTCCTGGTTGCTCCTCTTCCAGTCCAGCTCTCTGCTGTGGCCCGGGAGGGCAGTGGAGGATGGCCCAAGTCTTTGGGGCCCTGCACCGGCATGGGAGACCAGGAGGAAGCACCTGGCTCCTGGCTTCAGATCGGCACAGCGCGCTGGCTGCAACACACCAGCCATATCGGCCACTTGGGGGGTGAACCAATGGCAAAAGGCAGACCTTTCTGTCTCTCTCTCTCTCTAACTCTGCCTGTCCAAAAAAAAAAAAAAAAAATGATAAAGAGAATGGGTGAAGACTAAGGGAGGCTCGGGTTTGGGAGGAAAGGATTCTGTGTGCGGCATCTTGAGCTGGAAACACTGATAGGGACCCCCTGGTTGAGATATCTGGTAAGTAGCTGGACATGCCTTTGGAAGTTTGGTGATAATGGAAAGCTAAAAAAATTTTTTTCGAATAGATTTTACACTGAGATTAATTGCTGAAGTCTTTATCAAATAATTTCAGTGGGGTAAGACATGATGCTACAAGCTGAGAAACTCAATTGACTAAAAAACACACTCCTGGGTGGCTGTTTAGCCTACTGGTTAAGGCGCCACTTGGGACACCACAACCCCTATTGAAGTGTTTGAGTTTGAGATCCTGCTCCACTTCCACTTCCAGCTTCCTGCTTAATGCACACCCTAGGAGGCAGCTGATGGTTCAAGTGGTTGGGTCCTTGCTACCCATGTGGGGACCTAGATTAGATTTCTGGCTCCTGGCTTTGTCTTGGACCAGCCCCAGCCATTACAGGTATTTGAGGAGTGAACTAGGCAATGGGAGGTCTCCTAGTGTCAGTCTCTCAGTCTCTCTCTCTCTCTCCCCTCCTCCTTCTCCTCCTCCTCCTCCTCCTCTCTTTCTCTCTCTCTTCTCCTCCCTCCCACTCTCCTGGAAAAATTACTAAACAGAATATAAAAGAAAGCACACATTCCCTGGCAGAAGTCTAGCAGTTTGCAACCATCGTTGAAGCTCTGACTTTGTTGTACTGTTATTCCCTCACTCACGCGCCTGCTTCCCCAAGTGTACTGAGAATCTCCGTCAGATCATTCTCTTTTACCCCTGGGTAATGTGGCTGTTCTCTTTTTAATCCCTGTGTGTAGGTGGTCACTAGCCAACCAAGAGCTGCTGAATGGATGCTCCAGTGAAAGAAAGAGCTCTAACAGAATCCAGCAAATCACTATACACATGCAGTTGTGAAAGCGCTCCTGTCTTACACAATATGTGAGTATTACTCCCTTGGTGAAAATCCTACTGAGGTTCCCCAATGTTTCTCACATAAAGCTCAAAATTTTTAATATGGCTCAGTTGGACCTTGTGTGCTTAATCGAACCTAAACACCATAGGGGCTGGCGCTGTGGCACAGTGGGCTAAGCCTCCACCTGCAGTGCCGGCATCCTATATGGGCACCAGTTTGAGTCCCAGCTGCTCCACCTCTGATCCAGCTCTCTGCTGTGGCCTGGGAAGGCAGTGGAGGATGGCCCAGGTCCTTGGGCCCCTGCACCTGTATGGCAGACCAGGAGGAGGCTCCTGGCTCCTGGCTTTCGATTGCTGCACCTCTGACCATTGCAGCCATTTGGGGAGTGAACCAGAGAACGGAAAACCTCTCTCTCCTCTCTCTCTGCCTCTGCCTCTCTGTAACTGTGCCTTTCAAATAAATAAATCTTTAAAAAACAAAACCATAGACAACCTAACCCCTGAGTTATATATGAGCAAAAATCTGGCTTAGCATAACGTTGGAGTAAGCCACAGAAGTTTATTATTATGTCCATAGATGTCAAATGCCCACTAATCTGCTCTTGCTATGATTAAAATAGTCATCACAAACACCATAATGAAAAAAATCCACATGAAAAACCGGTCTATGACTTTCGCAACCTTCTTCCACTCGCTGCCCTTGGAGTTGGTGGCCTTGTGGTCTTTGAGACACTTGGCGATGTACTCGATGTTCCTCGTTAGCGCTCTGTACCGCGCACAGTAACCATCGGCGTCCGGTGGGCTCTCAGCCTGGCCCCCAAGGTCATTCTTTAAGAGTTTGTTCATTTCCTTCTTTCTGGAAAGGGTTTTGTTCCTGGGTGTCTGCAGGTTAGACTCGGGGAGTTTGCCATAGACCTTGGGGAGGCGGCCCCGCTCCTTGTCCTGGTGCGGGCTGAGGCAGCTCTCGCCCACATCGTAGACGAACAAGATCCTGGACATGTATTTCAGGATGACCACCCTGGCCCAGGGAGGCACCGGCCGGGCCTCTGCCCCGCAGAAGTGGATATTCATCACCATGATGGTCAAGGCGGTGGAGGCCGTGATCAAGGCCATCGTGGCGATGTAGTACTTGCCTGGAGTTAAAATAAAAACATTACCAATTGGCTGGTGTTTTCCAAGAAAGTAGTGCACCCTGGCCATCACTTGTGTAGACTTTTAAATCAGACTTTCTGAGTTACACCCCCGAGTCTCGTGACCTGGAGCAAGATACATGATCCTGCCAAGCCTCGGCTTCCTGCTCTGCAGAATGGGTGTGACAGTCGTATCTGACTCACAGGAATATGGTGAGATGATTCATTTAAAGTGATCTGCACTGTCCCTGGCTCCAGGTCAAAAGGTTTGTAAATGTTTGCTGAGATCATGATGCGAAACGGCTTTCCATTCTCAACAAACAGATAATGAACTTGACCAGTTGTCAGAATTGTCTTCAGACCTCATTACTATGAAAGCCAATTACAGTTGGATAACAAGGGAGACACTGTGTCTCTATTAGTCCTTAAAAGGTGGATGTATAAATCAAATGCTCATGAAAGGAGATATTAAGAGAGGAAACCACAAAGATAAGGATACAAATTTTTGAAGTGCAGAACAAAATCAAAAGCCAGCTTTTCAAAAGAGTAATAAAACTGCTAAAGCTTTGATAAAGCCACTCAGAGTAGGAAGTGAGGGCAGAGGGACAGACAGAGAAAATAGGGGGAAGCGAAAGAATAGAGATTTAGGGAGCAAAAGATAATATTATATTGCTGTAGGATACTCTATTTGATAATTTAGATGAAGTTCCCAGGGCAGTATGTGAAAAGGAGCACAAGAAGAAAGAACACTTGAATAGAAATAGGAATCAATAAAATACCTCTCCTTTTGTCCCCAAAAAGGTTCCATGCCCAAAAGAATTTACAGATGGGTTTTTTTGTTTTTTTTTTTTTTTTTTTTTTTTTTTTTTTTTTTTGACAGGCAGAGTGGACAGTGAGAGAGAGAGACAGAGAGAAAGGTCTTCCTTTGCCGTTGGTTCACCCTCCAATGGCCGCCGCGGCCGGCGCGCTGCGGCCAGCGCACCGCGCTGATCCGATGGCAGGAGCCAGGAGCCAGGTGCTTTTCCTGGTCTCCCATGGGGTGCAGGGCCCAAGCACCTGGGCCATCCTCCACTGCACTCCCTGGCCACAGCAGAGAGCTGGCCTGGAAGAGGGGCAACCGGGACAGAATCCGGCGCCCTGACCGGGACTAGAACCTGGTGTGCCGGCGCCGCTAGGCGGAGGATTAGCCTAGTGAGCCGCGGCGCCGGCTTACAGATGGGTTTTACAGATAATTCATATCCAACACAAGTTGTTCCAGAAACAGAAAAAAAGGGAAAACTGTCTTGTTCATTTTATGAAGTCAATTTAACCTTGACTCCCAAAGTGACAAGAAATGAACTATTAAGACCATTTCATAAATAGACATATTTGAGAAAGTCCTTTAAGAACACTAGTTTACAAAACCCAGTGGTGTCTTAGAATGATGCTCTCTCATGGTAAAGAAGAATTTGTCCGGGAATACAAATAGGCCCAACATCAGACAACCTATTGATGTAATTCACCACCAGTAGTGGATGAAAAAGAAAATCCACAGGATTGTCTTAACAGATGAAGATAATGGGCGCGCCCTGTGCAGATCTGTGTGTACCCTGCCTACCCTGCCTACGAAGATACATTTCCTATTTTCACAGAACAAGCAGTGCCTGCAGAACTCCCGGGAGGCATCTCTCTGCAGAAACGGTGCCGGCTTGCTCTCCAACGTCCCTGCTAAGGAGCAGTGAGGGACCTGCCGGTGAGTGTGCCTCATACACGGTTATGATTCGATGCCATCCCTGTCAATCATTTTTTTTTTTTTTTGCCTTGGGAGAGGTAATAAAAATGCTGATATATTTCCTTCTTGTGAGTGTGTGTGTGTGTGTGTGTGTGTTTTGTTAGGAGAGACACAAAAAAGGAAGAAATCTCCACAGAAACCATCACAGTAATGGCTGAATCTTGGGTAACTGGATTTACATAGAGAGTAAAAGGACAGTATGACATCCCATTGCTGTTGGGGTCTAAGTCTCTTGGTCTTCTGGAAGTTCTCATTACTTTAAAGAACTGGAAAAACATTAGGTCTAGTGTCTGACCCTGGTTAGTGTCTATCACAATAACAAGTCATTGAGACAGAGGGGTTGGATCTGAGGGCTACCCTGGGCAGCAGGAAGGATCCTTGGCCTATCCGAGGGGTATCCTTGGCGACAGGGAGGTGATAGAGAGGAGCAGCCTCAGGCTACACTCCACCCTTTGGATTATTGCAGATTTTTGAAATTGTGGTTACTTTAGAATCACCTCAGATCCCCAGATCTTGGCCAAAAGCACTAAACCAAACTCTTTGGATGTAGGAATCGACACCTTAATAAGCTCTCCCTCTGCTATTACACCCTGGAGGCTGAGGGTTATTCTGCTAAAGGGCAGACGCCAAGGCTCTAAAAGCCAGCTCATGCTTCTAGCAATGGTGCCCCTCTTCCCAAGAAGAAAGCCTTTGTAATGTGGCCAGATAGAAGCGATCATGTGGACCCCGTATTTACGGCCGGCCAGGATCAGCGCCAGGCAATGACCGAGAGGCAGCAAGTACACGGACTTCTCAGCAGACGAAACCCAGACTGAGTGACTGGTAGGGCCGAGGAAGCTGGGAGGAAGCCAGTGTTCCGATCAGGCCCCTTTGACTCCAAAGCCAGAGCCTTAACTCGCAAGTCAGTGGTTTTCAGCTTTGGCACAAAAAGTACATCAGAGGCACCCAGGAGGCTTGTTAAAACCAGCGGACACTGGGGCTGGGTGTAGTGGGTAAAGCTGCTGCCTGCAGCACTGGCATTCCATATAGGCACCAGTTCAAGACCCAGCTGCTCCACTTCTGATCCAGCTCTCTGCTATGGCCTGGGAAACAGTGGAAGATGGCCCGGGTGCTTGGGCCACTGCTCCCATGTGGAAGACCCAGAAGAAGCTTCTGGCTCCTAGCTTTGGATCAGCCCGGCCCCAGCTGTTGTAGCCATTTGGGGAGTGAACCAGCAGATGGAAGACCTCTCTCTCTCTCTGCCTCTCTGCCTTTCAAATAAATAAATAAATCTTAAAAAGTAAAAATTTTAAAAATGATGGACAGGCCTCACCTCCAGAGCATCTAACTCAGTGGGGGCTACAGTGGGCTCTGGGAATCAGCACTTACAAGAGTTCCCAAGTAAGGCTGAAGGTGTGAGACCAGGGACCACCACTTTAGGAGGAAGAAGGGTTGGAGCCTGGGCAGGAGGGAGGCTGGGTGGGAAGTATCACTGTGTTACTAAATCTGTTCATATGAAATACATGAAACTTGTATAAATTTTTTAAAAAGACCACTGCTCTAAACTACTGCATCTCCTTGCTCTTCTGTATAAACCCAGTGACTGCAAGACCAGTTTTGATTCCCACAGCCATATCTATATTCTGAGATGGCAGCTGCACACACAAGTGAATTATGTGACAACCTATACTGAGTTGGAAGTTGGTCCAACTTTACAAGTTTAAAAATACCTCTCTCTCTCTCTCTCTCTCTGTGTGTGTGTGTGTGTGTGTGTGTGTGTGTTTAATTTTAAAGGAAGATGGGCATTTAGCCTAGCAGTTAAGACACCCATGCACCATATTGGAGCACCTGGGTTTGACTGCCAACTCCACTCCTCACTCCAGCTTCCTGCTAATGAAGACCCGCCCCGGAAGGCAGTAGTGATGGATCAAGTAATTGGGTCCCGGCCACCCACGTGGGAAACCTGGATTGAGTTCCCAGTTCCTGGCTTTGTCCCAGGCCACACCTGGCTGTTACAGGCACTTGGAGGAGTAAGCCAATAAATGGGAGTGCTCCAGCTCTGTGTGTGTGTGCGTGTGTGTGTGTGTGTGTGCATCTGTCTGTCTCCTCCTCTCAAATAAATACTTAAATAAATAAACAAATGCCCACTCGACTCCAGTCACTACCACGCTAGGTTTCACGTGTAAGACCTTTAAACTCACCGATGAGGGGGACATTTTCTGAGGCCGGCATGATCTCGGCCACCATTAACTGGAATACAGTCATGGCCAGCAGGATGGTCACTCCCAGGGAGACCTTCTCCCCGGAGGCTGCTGGGAGATAAAAACTCAAGGGTGCCAGGAAAGAAATGAGGACGCAGGGGATGAGGAGGTTGACGATGTAGAAGGAGGACCTCCTCTTCAGCAGGAGGGTGAACGTCACATCCGGGTAAGGCTCGGAGCAGCAGCCGTAGGAGATGACGTTCTTCACAGCGGGCATGCCGTGAACCTCCCATTCCACGTCCTCGATGAAGTCCGAGAGGTCCCCGCTGTCCAGGGCGTTGAAGAGGTCCACCTGGTTGCCGTTGTAGGTCCAGGAACCGAAGGTCAGGTTGCACTGCTGGTTGTCGAAGGGGAAGTAGGTGACGTCCACCACGCAGGAGCTCTTGGTGATGGCGGGCGAATCCCAGGTGATGAGCCCGTCGTAGCGGAGGACCACGTTGGTGTTCACCGGCTCCGAAGACTCGTCGTCGGCCCTGCAGGTCAGAGGAGGAAGGTGGGGAGGGCTCGCCCGCTTCCCCACCCGCCTAGGGCTTCCCCCTGCGGGCGCCCAGCACTTCAGCAGTTGCCGCTGGATCACCACTTTCCCCACCGCTCGAGATCAGCTCCTCCATTTTTTTTTTTTTTTTTTTAGATTTATTTATTTACTTGAAAGTCAGAGCTATGCAGAGAGAGAGAGAGAGGTCTTGAGATCTTTCATCTGGTGGTTTACTCCCCAATTAGCTGCAACAGCTAGAGCTGTGCCAATCCAAAGCCAGGACCCAGGAGCTTCTTCCAGGTCTCCCAAGTGGGTGCAGGGACCCAAGGACTTGGGCCATCTTCTGCTGCTTTCCCAGGCCACAGCAGAGAGCTGGATCAGAAGTGGAGCAGCTGGGACTCGAACCAGCGCCCACATGGGATGCTGGCACTGCAGATGGCAGCTTTACCACAGCGCCAGCCTCCTCCTCCATCTTGGGGCTGCTGCTGTGGCACCACTTGTGATGCTAGAGTCCCATATCGAGCCACTCTGCTTCCCACCAGCTCCCTGCCAACGCGCCTGGGAGGGCAGTGGAAAATGGCCCCAGTCCCTGGGCCCCTGCACCCATGGGCGAGACCTGGATGGAGTTGCAGGATCTTGGCTTCAGCCCTGCCTAGACCTGGCTGTCATGGCGATCTGTGGAAGACCCCTCCCCCCCCGTAGTTTCTTCCTGGAGGAGCTCTACAAGGGCCGGAGAAGGTTTCGGGGGTCTCCAGCCCTGACCTCCTTTCCAGACTGACGCTTTGCCTTTGTGCTCTCGCCATTGGCCGGCTCCCTGGTAGTTCCTTTGGTCCCCCAAACGGAACAGCGAACGTTATTTCATTCTCCGCATCTGGTCCTCCCCCCACCCCACCCCCACCTCCAGCCTCTTCTGAGGGTCCTGCCATCTTGTCCCTCACCTCCTGTAGCTAAGGTTAGCTACGAAAGACCACCTGCAAGCTGAATTCTAAACAAAGCCTTAATACGGTAGGGCGCCCAATTCCTCACTAGGTCTAAAGATCAGAGATTAAAACTGTCCATTAAAATCCGTAACTCTCTGCTACTAACTTGAAATGTCTGTGGTTTACTCTCCCACCAATCTGACGACGTCAGGCATCCTCAGAGCCTCTGTTTCTAAGCACTGGGCTCACCACACACTCACTCACACCAAACACGCACACCAGCACTGGGAGCCCTGTTCCTATTCCTTCCCGAAGGCACCAAGAGTCCGTGTCTACTTCATGTATCACGCTGCCGAGAGCTCATTGTCTCGTGGGGAAAGTCGGGACTGAAGTTATATGAGGGAATTTGTCCCTGGCTGAGTAGAACTTATCTTCTGTCTAGCTTCTTCCCATTGTCTCTGGCTGTGTCCCCTGGAGCGATTTTCTCTGTCGTTGTCTACGGTAGCCATGAGGTCTTCCTAAGGCCTTCTCGCTTCCAAACCAAGCATCAGGGATTCAGCTGTTCCCCCGATGAAGCGGCTTCCAGGCCCACCGCCTCCCTGGTGCCTCTCTGATGAGTCCAGCACTGTGGACTCAGGTACCCGCGGTGGATCTACAGGCACCCGTGGTGGATCTACAGGCGAAGCATCCTGCTCACAACAGGCTGACTCACCTACCCCATGCCAACCCCCACACACACCACCACCACCACCACTACCATCACCACCACCATCACCACCCCACACACACCACCATCCCACACACACCACCACCCACACACCCCACCACTACCACCCCACACACCACCACCACCCCACACCACCACCCCACACATACCACCACCCCACACACACCACCACCACCACCACCCACACACACACCACCACCACCCCACACACACCACCACTACCACCACCACCCCCACACACACCACCACTACCACCACCACCACCACCACACACACCACCACCACCACCACCACCCCCACACACACCACCCCCCCACACACCACCATCCCACACACACCACCACCCACACACCCCACCACCACCACCACCACCACCCACACACACACCACCCCATACACACCACCACCACCCCATACACACCACCACAACCCCCACACACCACCCCATACACACCACCACTACCACCCCACCACCACCCCACACACACCACCCCATACACACCACCACCCCACACCACCACCACCACCACCCCGCACACACACGTCACCACCACCCCACACATACCACCACCACCACCCCACACACACCACTACCACCACCACCACCACCACACACACCACCACCACCACCACCACACACCACCCCACACACACCACCCCCACACACACCACCACTACCACCACCACCACCCCCACACACACCACCATCCCACACACACCACCACCCACACACCCCACCACCACCACCACCACCACCCACACACACACCACCCCATACACACCACCACCACCCCATACACACCACCACAACCCCCACACACCACCCCATACACACCACCACTACCACCCCACCACCACCCCACACACACCACCCCATACACACCACCACCCCACACCACCACCACCACCACCCCGCACACACACGTCACCACCACCCCACACATACCACCACCACCACCCCACACACATCACCACCACCACCCCACACACACCACACACACACATCACCACCACCCACACACACACACCACCACCACCACCCCACACACACACGTCACCACCACCCACACACACATACCACCACCACCACACACACCATCACCACCACCACATCACCATCCCATACACACCACCACCACCCCACACACACCACCACCACCCCCACACACCACACCCCACACCACCACCCCCACACCACTACCACCACACACACCACCACCACCACCACCACCTCCACCCCACACACACCACCACCACAACACAACAACAGTCTGTGGCCCACAGTGTTCTGAGGCAGCGTCTGAGAAGCAGTGATGCTGTATCTGGCATCAGGAGCTTCTGAAGGGCCAAGGATTCAGCTGGAAGGACCAGGGTCAGGCAGCAGCTGTGACTCCTGACCCCGTCCAATAAAGCCCTTCTCTTCTCACTTGGTTAAAGGGACGCGATTGCCATGCGACCACAGCCCCATGTAGAGCCTCTCTAAATAGCAGAACAGTGAGACGTTTCACTGAGAAGGAGAGGGCAAGGGGAGCAGAAAATCAGAAAGAGAAACGTCCAGGACTGAGGGCAGGGAGGCCTGGAGGCCACCAGAGCAGCAGAATGAGGCTGGTTAATCCGCGCGGCGAGAAGGCTCTGTGTGAGGAAGAGGCGTGGAGCAGAGCTCACGCGGCAGCTGGAGGCCAGTGAGCCAGGAGCCGGGGCCAGGGGAGGGAGGACAACTGACCAGAGCCGGAGGGGGGTCGTGAGAGTGCCTGAGCACGAGACTGGCATCTTTAACAAGGGGGCCCTAAGCTCGGCTCGGCTTAGGCTACCACCCGCGTCTGCGAATAAGCACTGCAGTAAGAACTGGCCACTGCCCCAGACAGCGAAAGCAGGAAGGGGAACTGGGTCCTGCCCAGAAAGAGCTGTGAGAACTTATGGAGGTTGTCGGAGATTGCTCATTCTTCTGTACTCTGCGGGAGGGTGGTAAGAACGGTGTGGCTTATTTTCTTGCTGTGTGTGTGTGTGTGTGTGTGTGTGTGTGAGAGAGAGAGAGAGAGAGAGAGAGAGAGACAGAGAGAGAGAGGAGAAATGAAGCCCCCATACTTGTATGTCATCTCAGGTTGGAAAGACTACGGAAGCTTCTCGGCCTCTCAAAACGGGGTGCGGACAGGAGGCTCAGGGCCGAGGTTCCAGGGGGCCCAGGGCTGTGGATGAGCTCTCTGCATGAGGAGTGAGCCTGACATCCAGGCTGCCACTCCCCAGTGTCACTTCCAGAAAGGAAATGCGTGCCCGCTAGGAGGCTGTACGGGGAGCCCCCTGAGCTGCCCCCCATTCATATGGTTCCGACCACAGAAGGATTTTCCCAACTCATGGAGACTTCTGTGGAGACGCTCCCTAGATGACAGGCAGAGAAACTGAGCTGGAACCGAGACAGAGAGAGCTGGCTCCTCCTCCAAGTGTAGCCCGGGGACCAGAGGCACCGTCACGTGGAGTTTACAGAAGAAGACCAGAACAGCAGGCAGAATCTGCGTTGGAGCAAGATCCCTGCTGATTCATGTGATGGTACAGTTTGGGAAACACAGTCCTTGCTCTGACAGGAGAGGGCCGGCTGGCGTGCCCTGATGGAAGCGTGCTCCGTTCCACACAAAGTCCAGGGCTCATTGTTACCGAATGTGATCTTGGACAGTGAGCACCCCCGTTTCGGGGTTGAATTGCATCCCTGGAAAATTCATATGCTGAACTCCATCCCCCGACCCCACCACCTCAGAGAGTGACCTTATTTGAGACTAGGATCATTGCATATACAGTTAATTAAGATACAATGAATTTGGCCGGCGCTGTGGCTCACTAGGCTAATCCTCCACCTTGAGGCGCCGGCACACCAGGTTCTAGTCCCAGTCAGGCGCCGGATTCTGTCCCGGTTGCCCCTCTTCCAGGCGAGCTCTCTGCTATGGCCCAGGAGTGCAGTGGAGGATGGCCCAAGTGCTTGGGCCCTGCACCCCATGGGAGACCAGGAGAAACACCTGGCTCCTGCCTTGGGATCAGCGCAGTGCGCCGGCCGCAGCGCACTGCCCGCGGCGGCCATTGGAGGGTGAACCAATGGCAAAAAGGAAGACCTTTCTCTCTGTCTCTCTCTCTCACTGTCCACTCTGCCTGTCAAAAAAAAGATACAATGAATTTTTGCTGGAGTAGAGTGAACCTAATCCAATATCATTGATGTCCTTATAAAAGGGGAAGTCTGAACACAGAAAGACACAGAGAGAATCCCACAAGGATATGAAAGGCAGAGATCACAGCTCCAGGAGGGCCAGAAATGTCAGCAAACTGCCAGGAGCTGGGGCAGGCACAGAACGCGGCTCCCTCACATTGCCCAACACTGGCAATGCTTCCTCACGTTACTCCTGCCTCCAGAGCAGAGACGCAACAACAAACCGCTGTTGCTTCAGGGGCGGGCATCTGGTGTAGTGAAGACGGTTGTTAGAAACCCCACAGCCCATATCAGAGGGCCTGGGTTTGAGCACCTGCTCTACTTCCGATGCCAGCTTCCTGCAAGTGCGCACCCTGGGAGGCAGCACTGGTGGCTCAGTGGTTGGGTCCCTGTCACTCAAGGGGGACACCTGGATTGAGGTGCCAGCTCTTGGCTTCAGCCTGGACCAGTGCCGGCTCTTGAGAGCATTTGGAGACAATGGATGGAAGATTTCCTCTCTGTCTCTCTGCCTTTCAAATATAATGAAAATAAGTAATAACCAAGAAGTACAATTTCTGTTGATCACCCCATCTGTAGTACTTTGTTATGGCAGCCTAACAAACTAACTCACCTGAAAGGGGAGGGAGTAGACTGAATGTGGAGGTCTCCTAGCTGTAGGCTTTTATGTTATCCCAGATTTTATAAACCTTCTTTCAAGGCCTATGAACATGGATTAATACTTAACTTCTGGGGCCAGCGCTGTGGCACAGTAGGTTAATCCTCCACCTGTGGTGCCAGCATCCTATATGGGCGCTGGTTCTAATTTCAGCTGCTCTTCTTCCTATCCAGCTCTCTGCTTTGGCCTGGGATAGCAGTAGAAGATGGCCCAAGTCCCTGGGCCCCTGCACCTGAAGCTCCTGGCTTCAGACTGGCACAGCTCCAGCCGTTTGTGGCCACCTGGGGAGTGAACCAGTGGACAGAAGACCTTTCTCTCCCTCTCACTGTCTGTAACTCAACCTCGCAAATAAATAAATAAAATCTTTAAAAATATATACTTAACTTCACATATGTTTTAAATATTCCTTCTTCACTGTGTTTAAATTTGCCAAATCAGCAAGTTCATGCCTGAGAAGCCACCGTTCCTACGTGCACTTACTTGTTGTACAGGACGATGTCGGGCCTCCACACCAGGTCGCTGGGGATCCTGATGGAGTCCAGCCCATCATACTGGTCACGGTCCCACGTGAGATACGCGTCGTGCCAGATTTGACGAATCCACAAATAGGCCGTCAGGATTTGGTTCCTTTCATCCTGCACAACGAACCCAGATATCGCGTTATCCAGGAGTCGTCTCCACCAAGGGCCGCCATCTAGGACACTTGCTCTTCATAATAGAAATATCAAGAACACTTATCTATTTCCAGGGAATAAGAGAGAGCTTTTTTATTTGATGCCCTTAATTGACTGCCAAGACCGTATTGTTGCCTTCTTGATTTCCTGTTCAGGATGTAGACAAGTGTTTAAGTCTTCAGAACTTTTCATGAGTCAACTCTACAAATTTCTCTGAAAACCGGTCAACTAATGATACACTTGAAAGAGAAAGTCAGGAAATAGCTAGCATGTACGGAAGAAAAATCTTTCATGTTTCTTAACTTTGTATAATTAAACACATATAATCACTAAATAAGCTATGGCATTGTAAAATGCCATCTTTCAGTTTTTAAAAAATTGAGATTAAATTCATGAGACATGCAGTCCTTTATTTTACCTATTTTAGAGGTGTAGAATTCAGCAGCTTCTAGTACATTTATAATTTAGTGTAACTATCACCATCTCCCAACTCAAGGACATTTTAAGCACCCCGACAAGGTAACCCATACCTGTTAAGAGGTCACTGACCATTCCCCTCCCCACCCCTGTCTCCTCTGCCCTCTGTAACCGTTCTACTTTCTGCCTCTACACACTTTTCTGCTGGGAACATCTCATATCAATGGACTCACACAACACGCAGTACCACGTTTCTTTGGATTGAATAAGACTGACCACGATCAGGTAACACTCAATGACCTGAATTAACTTTGCAGAAGGCTTCTGCCCACGGTGTTCCCCTCCCACCAGCTTGCACACAGAGCTGTCTGCTCTTCTTCCCTCTCTAGTCCCAGTCTAGAGATTCCCTTCGGAGGGCTCCAAGAAGTGCTCCCCAGAGCCCCCGCCACAGGTGACTCACCATGTCCTTAATCTGAGACAGTGTAATCTGCAGTGTGACATTCAGAACTTTATCCGTATCCTCCACCGGACGAAGAGCGTTGGAATAATCTTCAAAAAGGTCATTAAACAACTTCTGAGCGTATTTTCCATCTGCTGTTTCCACAGCTGCTCAGAAAGAGGGAGTGTGGTCAACAACCAGAGCGTCTTTATTTCCAGGCAAAGAACCTCAGAAGATGGCCCAGCACCAGCCACCGCAGGTCAGTGGAGGAGCTGTCTTCCGGGCATGCTCCGCCCAGACCAGCACACATCCGTAAGAAGCAGGGAACCCTTCTGTGCACCGCCATCATCTGCTCTGTCTCCTGCCCCACCCCACCTCTCACCAAAGAAATGGCCAAGAGGGTTCCATGCCACCCCGTCTCACCTCTCAGTCTGGAAGCCACAAAGTAAACCCAGCACAAGGAGATGCAGGAGTGGAGCCGGTTCATCTTTGTCTTGAGCCTCTGTGAAGTCCCAGGCAGGCAGGCAGGCGGGCAGGCGGGCAGCGTGGTCATCTAGGTCCCTCTGTGAGTGGGAAGGGGCTGCCGGGGTCTCTGTGCCGCAGATGGAGAGCTCAGGCTTGCACTGCATGCTGGACAGAGGTCCTGAGACCCAGACGCCTGCCCTCCCTCCCTCCCCTCCGGGTAACCCGAGACCCGCAGCTCCAGTAGCTGAGTCGCCTGGAGCCCAGGGTGAGGGGGTACCAGCAGGGCAGCTGTGAGGGAGCCAGTCCAGTTGAGGGACCCTAGGTCATCCTCAGCAGGAACACCCAGACCAAAGAAAAGAAGGTAGGGGCAGGAGTTGGGAGTGAGTGAGGGGCGGGGCGGATACCTGCAACCTGGAGACTCCAGCTACACAGAGTAGGAGAAAGCGGACTGCAGCTGAGGCCAGGGAAGCGCAACAGATCCAGAAAGACCTCGGGCACTTCCAGCAGCATCCGAAGGGAGGAAGAGAAACAGCTCCGGGAGCTCCAGAACAGAGGGGCATTGGGTTTCTCCTCCTCCTCTGCCTCGGGTCACTTCCCTGGTTGTCCCACTGGGCATTGATCTTGCACAGCAAACACGTGGGAGTGGGTCTGTGGGGGGTGCTGTGTTGAGTGGGAGAGAACTTAACCCCTTGAAAAGCAGCGACCAGGTGAACTGGATTTGGAGTTTGAGCACCCAGGTCTGACTGCCAGCCCAAACCCTTGCTAGCCCGTTAATCTGGACCTGCTTCTGTGACCCTTCCTGAACGATGGACCAAAACATTCCCTCCTGCCCACAGCTACTGCTGTCCTGTAGGTGCATCAGAACGCACCACAGAGATCTTAGCGACTGTCCTCTCTCATCAGCTTTGTCGGTCCAGAAATTCCGCTTTTACCAAACCACTCAGGATTTACCAGCTCCGAAAAAAAACCCAGCAAAATGGTCCACAGGCTAACCAAATCAGCATGAGGATGACTCTTAGCCAGGATCAGTGACACTGCTGGAGAGGACAGGGCCCGCATTCGAAAGCACTTTATGTAATTCAGTCATTTCTCATCTGTGATCTAATTTTGCTCCCACAAAAGAACGTTGATTTCCAATTGCTAATGTAGTCTGGGAACTCAGGTCTGGCCCTCCCTGTGCCTTGGAAAACCAAATTAAGATAATTTGGTTGCCTGGAATCGGAGCCAGGAAATTGGAGAGCTCTCGCTCATCAGGTTACAGCCCTCTGATGAGTCACCCGGCCCTCTTCAGGAATAGACCAGCAGCCTGGAACAAGACACTCGAGCCATCAGCTACGTGTGGTTCTTAATCGCCTCTTCCCTGGTGTTGATTGTGAAGATGTTATTTTCCCCAGGCCGGGTCTGACTCACTCATCAAATGACACAGCTCCTGGTGCCCACGCTCAGACCTCCTTCAACAACTGCGCCACTCTGCAGTCCCAGAGGCTGAAGGGATCTTTGAATCTGAGTCGAATGCCTGCTCCTGCAGCACAGGAGCCCACTGAGGTCCGGGGCTGCAGCATGGCCTGCCTCATGCCGCGGCCGAACCAGAAGACCACCCCTGTTGGTCACTTATAAACATCTATATTATAAATATATTTTTAAAATGGTGCAACTCTCAATGCTAATGCAGACCAAATTAAACCAAAGCTTTGGGGAGATATTTTGCCTTTTAGAGCAAAGATGTTGATGACCACAAAGCAAACTCCTCTCTGGGTCACTCTATAAATAACCACCAGGTGGGGCCTGCTCACCTTCGGCCAATCACTGCCTCCCAGTCTGCGCCAAACCTTTCACCAAAAGAGAGCCGGGGGTTCCACAGCTCCCAGGACATTACGTGGGAGAAGTCAGTTGAACTCACTGTTTAGGGTTCGATAGCCTTGGAGTGACTTCCTAAAATGTGCCCTTGCCCAGACAATGGAGAGACAATTTTAATAAGCCTCAGCAGTCCAGAGATGTTGTGTCTCCCAAGTTCATCACATTTCCTGATAGCGCCCAATAATCAGGACTGGTCATAGCTGTTGCCATATAAACTCAGCTTGAAGGAGCCACCAGCCACTTAAGTCTGCTGGGCACTTGAATAGAGACTCTGGGTAGCATTTCGCTGTAACTGTGTGACATCATCACCCAAGGGACCCAGCATTCAGGTGGTTTCTGGAGAGCCCACTGGTCCTTTTGCCATCTGCCCTTCTGAGAAGCATCAGTCCCTTGTCACGAACTCACAGACAGGTGGCACTGAGGCCATGGCTGGGTGGCTGGCAGCCAAACCCTGTAGCCCAATCTTGAGACACCTGTCTGCTCTCAGAATGTGACACGAGGACATTAGGCACATTCTGTAAGATCACACTATTTCTTAAGTACAATTTTTATCCCATAAGCCATACAGGCCTATTCTAGAAAAATGAGAAAATACAGAAAGGCACAGTGAAGAAGAAAAAAAGGATCCATCCAGGCAGAGAGAGAGAGAGAGAGAGAGAGAGGCTGGGTTCACACAGTGGTCGTGTGTTACACACGCTCCCATAACTGCAGGGTCACCTGGTGTGAGCGCTGGGAGGACACAGGCCATCTGCAGGCCGCAGGCACACGGGCGTACAGAGGACGTGTCTGCCAGTTCCCTCCTTCATCTTGCAGGTTTGGGTTGTATGATCTGCCCTTCCTTCCTACCCCTCTCCCACCCTCCAGGTCCCTCCTTCCCTCTTTGTGGTTGAAGCCGTTGTGGAGGACCTGTGCCCACTGGGGTCCAGCCTCTTGGGGAAATTCTTGGCTCCATTCCAGGAGGATGATGGCAGCACAGACATTGCTTGGAAAAGAGCTCCTGTTTGGCAAAGAAACCCAGTGAATTATTTTGCTAAAAGACGCTCTTCCCAGCAGCCAAGGGGGTTGGAAGAATAAATACCTTCATTCTGTTACACGTCCATGTACAAAAATTGCAAAAAATCAAATGCCAGGTTTGGAAAGGGTTTTTCCCTTTTGCAAATTCATACAGCATAGATCTTTGGCGCGTTTCATGGAGTATAGAAGCAGAACCCATGAAGAGCCCTTAAAGGCCATCTAGCCGAGCTCACTCCGTTTACATATGCAAACGCTGAGCCCCAGAGAGAAAAGGAACTTCCCCATAGAGGTGTGGTTATCCAGAGAGGCAGCCCTTTTGCCCTGGCTCTCCGCAAGCTGCCCCCTCCACAGCACCAGGACAGCGAGTGAGGAGACTCAGGAAAGCACGCAGAGCGTACCTTGAGGAACTTGGAAATGCTGCTCCACTCCGCCCAGGGCAGGTGGGACCTCAGTCTGACCCACATGGGAAACCAGGAGCCAACCAGAGACCCTCAGCCTCCCCAGGAGCGTCAACTCCTGGCAGGAGAGGAGGGCTGTCCTGCTCATCAGAGCCACGCCGGCTGCTAGCCATGGTTTGTAACTGCATGAAATTGCAGGAGATGTCCCAGGAGCCTCCGGGCCTGAGGATCTACTGTCCACACATCCTGGATGCATCGTGGGCATGAGTCTTGAAATATAAACACTCAGAGCTCCTTTAAAGGGGATCTCTCCCAATTCCTTCGCCCTTTGGGATCAGGGTTGCAAGACCAGGCCAGAGGGGCTGGCACTGAGACAGCACTCCCCAGATTTTTTGGGTTTTACTTCTTTCTCATCTTAATCAAGAAAAGCAAGTTGCTTCATCTTTTTTAAGGAAGTTTAACTGATACATAAAAAAATATACATTATTGGATACTATGTGATGTTTTGATACATGTATATGTCGTGTACTGTCCAAATCACAGTAAACATATCTCCTAAAACATTATCTCTTTATGGCAAAAAAACATTCAAAAATCCTATTTTTTATTGTTATTAAAAATATCTATATGGAGTGGTGTCGCTCCCCCATTCGTGGAGGAACGACACAGGACCCTGCGCTGTTCTTTTGTCTGCTTGGCCCTTCCTGGGTTTACTGCTGGTCCTTCCCGGGTTGGCTGCCGACCCTTCCACCTCCGTGGAAGGGCGGCTCCCCCTGCCACTTTCCCCACTTCCGCGGGGGAGCGGCACACCGCCGGCCAGCTCTCTCGGGGGCTGGTCAGATGTTATCCGGATGTTCCTGGTGCATGTTGTCTCTCTCCTCCTTTATAGTCCTCTTCCACCAATCCCAACTCTGCTACCCACATGCTGAGTATGCTGCTCTCCTCCAATCAGGAGCAGCTCCTGCAGCTTGTCAAGTTGGTGAGAGGCAGCTGTGTAGAAGCTGTTTACTCCTCTCCCAGCGCCATATTGTGGGAGAGCAGATGCATAGAATAAGTCTTAATTCCAGTAACTTAGTCTAGTCTCAGTTGCTCCCCACAAAGTGGGTACTGTGGTACAGTGGGTCATGTCACTGCTTGGGATGCCCACATTCCATATCAGAATGCCAGTTCTGCTTTCAATCCAGCTTCCTAATGCAACCTGGGAGGCAGCAGGCAATGGCTCAAGGGCTTGAGACCCTGCTCCCCACAAGGGAGACCCTGCTCCCCACGAGGGAGACAGGATGGAGTTCCAGGTTGCTGGTTTTGGTCTGGCCCATCCCTGGTTTTTTGGGGCCTTTGGGGAGTGAACCATTGGATGGGAGAACATTCATTCTCTCTCTGTTTCTCTCTCTCCACATTTGAAATAGCTAAAAATAAACGAACATTTGCATATACACGCAGTACACTATGGCTCTCTCTAGTCACTGTTGTGCAAGGGAACTTCTTATTCCTATGTAACTGTAACTTAGCACCCGTTAACCCACCTTTCCTCATCCCTCCCTACTTCCTACTCTCCCCAGCCTCTGACAACCACCACTGGCCTCAGCTTCTGTGAGATCAGCTTTTTTATACTCCACATGTGCGTGAGCTCACGTGGTACTTTTATTTCTGTGTTTGGTTTATTTCGCTTAACATTATGACCTCCAGTTCCATCCATGTTGCTGCAATGGAAAAAAATTCCATCCTTTTTTAAGGCCAAGCGTGTGTATTTAGGGCACTTGCTTTATCCATGCGTTGGTGGATGGACCCTTTGTTTTTTCCATTTCCTGGCCATTGTGAACCGTGGGCGCTGCCATGCACACAGGAGTGCCGATGTCTTTGTGATAGGCCGATGCCACGCCCCTTGCATGTATACCCAGTGGTGGGATGGCTGGACCCTGATATGATGCCACTTCCGGTTGTTTGAGGAAGGACCCACCATACAGTGTTCCACGGTGGCTGTACTGATGGACAGTTCCACCAACAGTGTGCCGGGGTTTCCTTTTCTCAGCGTCCTCACCAGCATCTGTTATTGTCTGTCCAGTGGCAGTGGAAGGACACCTCACTGGGCTCTGGACTTGTATTCCCCTGGTGATTATGGTCATGAACACTTTCCCACACAACTCTTGGCCATTTCTGTGTCTTCCTTTGAAAAATGTCTGGCCGGCGCCACGGCTCACTAGGCTAATCCTCCGCCTTGCGGAGCCGGCACACGGGGTTCTAGTCCCGGTCGGGGCGCTGGATTCTGTCCCAGTTGCCCCTCTTCCAGGCCAGCTCTCTGCTGGGGCCAGGGAGTGCAGTGGAGGATGGCCCAAGTGCTTGGGCCCTGCACCCCATGGGAGACCAGGAGAAGCACCTGGCTCCTGGCTTTGGATCAGCATGATGCGCCGGCCACAGCGCGCCAGCCGCAGCGGCCATTGGAGGGTGAACCAACAACAAAGGAAGACCTTTCTCTCTGTCTCTCTCTCTCTCATTGTCCACTCTGCCTGTCCAAAAAAAAAAAAAAAAAAAAAAAGGCTTGGAATCAAGTCCAGCCTCACCACTTGGCAGCTGTGTGACTTTGAGCAGGTTACTTAACATCTCTGTGCCTCAGTTTCTTTATCTGTAAAATGGAGACAGTTATAACAGTGCCTACCCTGGGAGGACTAACTGAGTTAACACATGAAACCCTAAAAACAGAGCCTGGCCAAACAAGTGGTAAACAAGTGATCATTAAAGTGAAGCAATGTCTCGCAGGAACTAAAAATCTCCTATCCATGTGCATGGAACCTACAGCCGCAATCACAACTATTTACCTCGACTCCCACTCCCCACATCTCTGTCTCACCCATGCTCTTGATGGACCTGGTTGGAGGAGACGTGTTTTGTCTGACCAGCAGCTGGTGCTGCAGGTGGGAGACTAGCCCGTCCGCCATTTCCTTTTATACCACAGCATCAATATTGTCCAACCACGGCCGGTTGATTGATTTACTTAGTTACTTTCGCGGTAGTGTTTTTAATCCTCTTATCCACTTTGCGAGTCACCCCATCTAAATCCATCACAGAGCTTGGCAAACCCTTTCTGTAAAGAGCTGGATAGTAAATGTTTTCAGCTTTGCAGGCCATCTGGTCCCTGTCGCAGCCACTCTTCCCCAGAGCGCTGTGAAAGCAGCTACGGGCAAACTGAATGAGCATGGCCAAGTTCCAGTCCAGTTTTATTTACAGAAGTAGGTAGAGGAGGCAGGCATTTGGCCTGGTGGTTAAGACACCAGTTAAGATGTTCGCATCACACATTGCAGTACCTGGGTTCCACATCTGGCTTTGGCTCCTGACTCGGACTTTCTGCTTTTACAGGTCCTGGGAGTAATGAGCAGCAATGGCTCCAGAGACTGCGGTCCTGCCACTCAGGTGGGAGATGAGGATTTAGGTCCCAGTTCCTGGCTTTGGCCCCAAGCTGGAGTCATTGCGGGCACTTGGGGTGTTAACCAGTGGATGAGGTGAGATCAATCAATCTCTCTCTCTTTCTCTCTCTCTCTCTCTCTCTCACAAACACACCCTCAAGTAAATAAATTTAAAAAGAAAGAAAGAAATAGGTGGCAGGCCATCCTTTGTTGGGGCAGAGAATCCCAGGGCATCATTTTGTTTCTAACCACATCCATTTGGCTAGGGAGTTGTAGTTTAGACCAGAACAGAACAGATTCAGGAAGAGAAAGAGGAGGGGGCTCCTGGGGAAACAGGTGCAGTGGGCTCCGTATCTCAGGTGCTCAGGCCCCAGAAAGTGTCCCTGCTGCTTGGCCACGTGACATGGAGGCCAAGGTCCACCTTCCCTGCTTTGTAAGGTTTATTTATTTGAAAGGCAGAGTGACAGAGAGAAAGAGAGAACAAAGAAAGATCTCTCTGCTGGTTCACTTCCCAAATGGCTGCAAGAGCCAGGAGCTCCATCCAGGTCTCCCACATGGGTGGCAGGGGCCCAAGCTCTTGGGCCATCATCTCCTACTTTCCTAGGTGCATTAACAGGGAGCCGGATCAGAAGGGGAGCAGGGGAGACTTGAACCGGCGCTCTGATATGGGATGCTGGTGTGCAAGCAGCCAGCTTCACCTGCTGTAGCGCAACACGGGCC